TCTGCGTTTCATAGAAAGTCCTAAGTGTAACCTAAGTCTTAGGACTTATGTCCAACTATAGGACCTTTTCAATAAATATTTTTATCTTTACTCAAGGACTTGGACTTTAATTAATTTCATTCTCCAGAGAAAACTTGAGAGACACAATGGCTCGTGCTTCAACCTACAATTTGGTTCGTGCTGATCTACATGGCAATTAAGAAATTAAACAAGTATTAACATAGGGGTAATATTTAAGGACATTTTCTTTGAAACACAAAACTGTCTCAATTTTGGTCTTAAAAATCTGGAAACAAAGTGAAAGAATTAATCACAACAAAATTACATGAAAATTGCAGACTCGGTTTGATTGATTCTGTACATGAGGGATAATTTGTTATATAATTAACAGCTATTTTGTTACATGTATTATGGTAGTGTTTCTACTCTTCAGTTCTTACATTTACATTGTTCGATTCTATAGTCTGACATAAATCTGAATAAACTTCTGACTTTTTATCATGTATTGTCTATTTTGTATTTTTGGTTACTAAAACAACTTGTAGTCAGTAAACGATCTAAGAGTTCGTATACGTTTAAAAGAAGTAATATTGTATTATGTTGGGTTTCAGGGACAATGGTGGTGGTGATGTTGATGGTGGTTGTGTTTCGATTTGGGTAAATATTCTTTATTTGTTAGGATTTAAGTTCATTTTGGCATCATCTAGTAATATAGTATGAAGATCTTTGCTCATATTGCATCGAAGAAATACAGAATTGCCGCGTAACAAAACACCAAAGCCGGTCCTCCCGGGGGAGGGTTGACGGTAGCCTACACTTAACAGTGCCGTCTAAGAACAGACTGGAACAAACCGAGCCTGCAACATTTTAAATTTTGCCGTTTTGGGCGTTATTTAGGGACCATTTTTGTCTTTATTTGTAGAATTAGAACATCAGTTTGAACAGATCATCCAGAAAGAACAACTATTCCATTGCAATGCTTTTGTCCATCACATTCATCTGATATAAAACCAGCCAAGAAAAGGAGGTAGGAATTATATTCAGGTATAATATATCCTTATGTAATTCATACTGCATGCCTTTTGTATATACTAATTTAATATAAATGATTTGTGCGTTATTCACAGGTGGTTTCATATGTTAATATAAATTAATTTCAGTTAACCGATTTGGATGCATGTTTGGTTCCTTTACACTCGCTACCGGTATGAACCTTATGGGCGAACACTATTTAATAGATTTAAATGCGCCCTCTTTATGTATTCAAATTAAGACATTATTACGCAGTCCTATTGGATCGTTCAATGCGTGGCTTTACTTGTGGTATACCTTTGTGTTTAATATCAATTATTACTTCGGTTCGTTTCAGTACCGGTATTGAAATAATTTTAATATTGGCATTAATGTCATTTTATATGACCCCTCAAAACATAATCTTCTTTTGTCTTAAGTCAGACTTTAATGATCTTGAATTAGTGCGAACAGCTTTGATTTATTTTGGCATGACTTGTGAAATACTTGTTGAAATGGGATATAGATGTAGATAAATTTTATATTGTGGAATAAGACATTTAGTATGCCTTGATGAAATACAATCAATCTATCATTATAAAGATTGGCGTAATACCAATTTTAAGATATTTGCTGTGGTCTTTAATATATAATAATAAAGACAATGGTAAATTTGGTATAGACTGTATGTGTAATTCGTTATCATATCTGGATTGATAAAGAAATTGGACAAAATTCATCAAAATCATTATATACAAAGAGATACAATCTGGTCTCCAGTGTGAAAATCTAAAATCAGGTAAAATCTGGGCGATTAAAAAACTGATAATTATCTTTATTTTTTTATCTTCTATTTAAGCTATGCAATAATCCAAGTTCTATTTTCCCACATAAAATATTTACTGAAATAATAATTAAGCATTTATGCTATTACAGACATTTTTTTTTTATCATTGTGGTATAATTAGTGTCTTAACATTTTTCCTTACGTAAGCCAAAGTTAACCGGTAACAGCTTTATGTGTCAAGTGTTCTCATCTGCGGATGTTTCTAAATTCAAAATTTTACCATTACATGTTTAAATGTTGAATACTGCTTAAGCCGGTGCTAGGGGGCGTGGACGGTAGTTTGTACTTGACAGTACCGTCCATGAACATGCTCAATCAAACCGAACCTGCAATATTTTCATTTTTGCCGTTTTGGACTTTCTTTAGGGATTCCTTTTTTCTCAATTTAATTCGACTCCGATCCATATTATCGCATGTTCGACTCCCACAAATCAAATAAGAGAAAGCATTTTTATTGGACAAATGTTTTTGTGGACATGCTTGAACCAGCATAGTTGCCATTTTCATTGTATAATAATCATCATTATCATCATCATCGTGGTGGTCGTGTCGCCATCATCATCGTCATCATTTGTAACATTTTTTTGAATTTCTCCCAAAGTCAGATGTGAAATGAACTTTCAACACTCGTTAGTTAGATTATCGTTTATAAAAAAATCAGGAATATTATAGATATTTTTACATGTTCCATGCTACTTAAAGATCATTATAACTATGGGAATAATGTTCCATTCAGCATTCAGATAATTGTTACTACAGAAATACATGTTCCATTCATTGTAAAGATCATTTTAGCTATGGAAAGACTTGTATATCGCTCTAACAATGGCAATGTGTTCCATATAGCTTAAATATCATTATAACTATGGAAAGACATGTTCCATCCAGCATTAAGATCATCGTAAATACAGAAATACATGTCCCATCCAGCGTAAATATCATTTTAACTATGTATAGACATGTATATAATTATAACAGTGGCAATGTGTTCCAAATAGCTTAAATATCATTATAACTATGGAAAGGCATGTTCCATTCAGCGTTAAGATAATTAAAACTATAGATGTTCCATTCGACGTCAAGATCATGGAAAGACATGTAGATTGCTATAACTATGGAAAAAAAATTCCATACTGTATAGCTTAAAGATCATAATAACTATCGAATCAGCGTTAAGATAATTAAAACTATAGATGTTCCATTCGACGTCAAGGTCATTTTAGCTATGGAAAGACATGTAGATCGCTATAACTATGGAAATATTCCATTCAGCGTAAAGATCATAATAACTATGGAAAGACATGTTCCATTCGGCATCTAGATCATTATTACTAGGTAAACAAACCACTTTTTACATTAAGTATACCTTGAGCTATGACGAATGTCATGTTGATTATTAAATGAATGTTTTTATCAAGCTCGTATGTTGTTAATAAATGTCGCAAAAAATTACTCCTGGTTTTTAAGCATGATATACAGCACACTTTGGGAGTTCTTTCATGCAAAAGATGCGCAAACCGTTTACTAAGTAGGTGTTTTTGTGCGTTACACAGGTTATTAACCATCTAGCAATATAAACATATTAAGCATTATGTTATTTATTAATACCGCATGTAATTCGGTATTGCAATATTTTGGGGTTATTTACGACCCATGTATCACCGCAGGGGCAAGGTTCTCTAAAGTTTATAGCATTTAGTTATTTTAAATTAAATTATAATTCTCCGTAGTAAGTATAATAAAATGTGATGATGGATAAATTAGAATGTTTCGGTTAAAAGTCTACTTTTCCTGTATTAACTTTTCGCGAATAAATTTAATACTTTCAGGTAATATACAGCTTAGTGGTAGCCCCCCAAAAAAAACGTTAGATCGGTTTTATTTATTGAATATTTAACAATGATTTTCGAACCGATCTTTATACCCCTGCACAACAAAGTTGTCAGGGGGGTATACTGGAAACAGCTTATCCGTCCGGACGTCTCCCCGTCCGGCCGTCCGTCGGTTTTTCCTTGTCCGCCGTATAATTTAAGATTCCTTTGACCCACAGTCTTCATATTTGGTATTTAAATTGGTCATGATTAGTAGATGATCTCTAATGATTTTGAGGTCACCAGGTCAAAGGTCAAGGTCACAGGGGCTAAAAAAGCTTGTCCGCCCAATAACTTAAGAATCCTTTGAAATAAAGTCTTCATATTTAGCACGGAGGTTTGTCAGGCCCAGTAAGATGACCCTTATTGATTTTGAGGTCACTGGGTCAAAGGTCACAGGGGCCTTGACTAAACACAGATTGTCCGCCGAATAACTTAAGATTCCTTTGACCCACAGTCTTTAAATTTGACATTGAGGTTAGTCATGATTAGTAGATGACCCCTATTGATTTTGAGGTCACTGGGTCAAAGGTCAAGGTCACTTTCACATTTGAAGCATGTAGACTACATAACTTAGCAATGCACTGGCTTAGCAACGTCAGATTTGGCAGGGAGGTTGTCTTTGAGCACTAAATGGCCACTGTTGATTCTGACAAAGTGGCATGCGGGTGTATTCACGCCATAACAGTGGCAGTTCTAGTTTTCCTTTCCTCTTTTGCATCATATTTGTTGTGTGTGGTTTTTGGGTTGTTTTTTTTTTGTTTTTTTTTCATATTTCCTTCCACATTTGACTGAACGAAGATGTCAGCAAATGAAAAGGTTCAATCGGGACATCTCTGGTATTATTTATAATTATAATAATAACTTATATGTTCCTATCCTATGTTTGACGGAAATGGCCGAGAAGATGCGATTGTAAAAATCCTAAAAAACAAATGATGTAAGCGACTGACAAATATTTTGATGAAACAATTTCCAGTACATCCATTTATGGAGTCTAAATTTATCAGTTGCTCGTATATTTCTTGACTGAATGTAACACATCCTTTAGGCTGCTAGCTGCACTTAATTCTACCCATGTAAACAGTGCAGACCAAAATCAATCGCTACGTCCATGTCATCTGATCATGGTCTGCACTGTTTGCTATTCTGTCAGTAAATATTACGAAATTCTCCCTCAAAATTATAAATGGTTTTGTCTAGATTGAAAGATGGGCAAGTCCATTAAAGACATATAGGAAGTAATGGGATAAAGGAAAACAATAGAAATATTTGTACCGACATTTAACATTTTATTAAATAATTCAATTTTTTATATCAACATACACAATTACAGTTTGTACAAAATTACAGTGTAAACGATTAGAATGACAAAATATAAACCATATACATTATGAATGCAATTTGCGCTCAATAAGTATACATGTATAAATTTATCTTTCATTTGAAATGTACATGATTATTAATACATATAGAACATGTATTCGACAGTGCTTCAACAATGAAAATGTTTGTGTTGACGCATTTACTTTAAAGCTTGACATAATTTTAAGTTAAACATGCTTTGACTAGAATAAAGAAAAAAAAACTGCATGTTTTAAGTTAAGTTATTTTTAGATTGCTTCAAAGTTATTTTTAGACGAGAATGGTTTCATGAGTTATTTTAAGACAAGAATGTTTCCATGGCAAGGTAAGCTGACTTTCAGGTACTACAAAGTTAAGTTTTAGTACCTCAGTACATCGGGTTGAAGTTAACTAACTATATTGATGTAAAAATAAAAACATTCTAAACTAAAGGTGCATATACGGTAAAGGGAAGTGTATCCCTGAGTATTTTTTACATATTCAAGGCTTTTTTTCTTGCATTAATATATGAGTCATTACTTACAATATTTAAAATATATCTAATTTCAAAAACATTAAAAAATTATAATGTTAGAATATAACCATCAAACCCACAGCGATAAGCTATACAGTTTCTGTTGATTTTTCATGTGTAAACAGAATAACAATTCAAAATCTTTTTCTTTAAAGTTCAAGAATATCTAAAACTGTTCTTATACATTTTGAGCTTACGTTGAACATCGGTCAAAATTTGGATAAATAAATAGCCATCATAATGCTGATACCATTGTCACGTGACTCTTCTATGCCATAAAATCTGGAGTAAATTCTCAGATAATCTTAAATATATATTTCTTATAATGACAAATTTATAAAATTACAGCCACCTTCAATCATTTCTTCGATATGTTTTCATTATTGTCTTTAATTAACATAATTAAAAATCAATCAATCATAACCGATAATTACGTCATACAATCATTATGACGTCATACCAGCTGCATATGGAAGTGCAAATATATTTATAATTTAACAACGACAACACTATATATATACCATACCTAGCTAAAAACGTTTCAACATTTTCACAAAACAATTTTGTATGATCACGTTAATGTAGATAAAATTTGTGTACATATATTTTGATTAGTTATATTACCCACAAAAATGGTCACTTATTATGCACAATGCTTTTGTTCTTTGAAAATCAGCACTATTTTCAGTTTTATTCACCTTTGCCGCGCTAATAAGTCGTCTGCTTGGCATAGAAAGTAGTCCTGAACACCAGGACTATATTTTTTGATTATCAACGGTCTTCACTTTTTATAAAGTCTGTGTCATCAGAAACACTATTTTTGAAAGCGTCTATGACCGTTTGTCGCTCATTTTGACAAAGAGCGTCTACATGATATGCACTTTTAAAAGCGTCTGTGTTACCCGGATTGCTATTTTTTAACTATGACCTTCACATTCGCCGTGTCCCTTGATGCGCGAATAAAACGCCTTGGTACATTATGCCATTAATTTCCATGGAAACCACTAAGGAGTTGTCAATTTCGGTTCTACCATCATCTGTAATGAAACAACAAAAAATAACAATGTAATTGAATATCATTAAGGCATAACGTTGAAAAGAATACAAAAAGGAGAAATGAGGAGTTTTTGTCATCTTATAACATCAATATTATCAGAATGCTGTGTCGCTTTTTATGGTGCAATTTGTAAAAAGTACGGAACGCTTGAATGCCGAATGGTTTACATGCGCTTTCAAGCGCTTTTTCATTCCCTACAGCCCCCTGTTCCCATTTCAAGCCACAAATCTCCAAAAGCATGTTCGCCTTGTACTTTTTTTATCACCAGTTCCGGAATGCTTTTCTTCATTTCAATTAAAAGCGAATTTTAATCAATACCCCAAGATCGTTTAATTACACTGAATTTCTTCTTCAATATCAATAGAGCAGATTGCAGCCGGCTGAATAATAAAGTATCATGTCAATAAATTCACACCCCTCTTTATGGCAATGTCTCTAGATATTTCTAACTGCTCAGATATTAGTCGCTTCCAAACTGATCAAATATTAAGATGGGTCTAATTGAATACATAGATATGGGTCCCTGGAATAAGCGCTGATTGTTGATAACTGGAGAACTGATAAAGACGTATAAATTGCATTAAGGCATCAAATTGGAAGATTGACTTAATAACACTGACATAGCGTTTAATATTTAATGTAATTTTATTGGTTTCTTACAATGGCTTAAGACGGCAGTTGCAGTTAACGAAACATAACGATTTCCGAGTTAACAGTACAATTTTGCCTTAATATGTTATGTTGTGCAGACTTTTATCATATTTGTTTTATTGACGTCTGCGGAAGTCTCTAATAATGTATTGTTACAAAGGGAGATGCTCTCTGCTTTGCAAAAATAATAATTTAACTTGAACAATATCACTTCTGTAATTCAATTTTGTGAAGCGTCAGTAAAATACAATCACACTATGTCGCGAAATGTTGCGGTTTTATTGTATTTTGACTATTACCCATCAAAAATCAACTTATAAAGTTCAATCAATTAAATCAGATCCCAAATATAAATTTCAACCATATTTTTGTATGTCTTTTTTTTTATTAATTTAAGTGAACGTTTAATTGGAATGGTATTAAATTAGAGGTTAACCCGGGTGCGCCGCCTGACGCTCATCGTACCAATTTTATGATATCTTCATGAAACATAATCTTACACTGATTAATCTATGTAAAAAAATCTAATTGGGATAATTGAGTCATTACAAATTAATCACATCACTTTTAGACCCTTTTATTCCTTTGAATATGCGATATAAAACTTAACATCGCCTCAATGGATAAAAGTCATGAATAACGTCGCATTGACAAAATTGGCGACAATAGGCAAAAGGGTCACTGATCATAGGCGCTGTTTTATATAATTCTAATTTTAAAAGCTACACTTCAGTTTTGATTTTTCTCAATTTCGTCGTGTGCATTTATGTGTAAATTGTGTACAAGCAATATTGGATATTTTCGATTTTTAGAAACTAAAAATAAGTTTTATATTTTAGGGTAATTTATGATATCATGAACTTCAAGTGGGTACTGATTGTTGAATTTTCTAAGTTTCCCAACATCAAATAAATATTAAATGTTCATTTGTAATACTATGCATTTAAGTTTCTGTCTACAACGTACATTTTCGTTATTGATTTCACATTTCATAAACACACTTTTCCATTATTTTATTTTTTCTAAATATGACAAAGTCATGATTTTCATATACTACATGTAGTAGTAAAACATTGGCATTCCTTAAGCTTTCAGAGTTCTTGGTTTTCTTAATTCTTTTCATGTTTGGCAAATTGTCGTCTGCTAAAATTGTCGTCTGCTAAAATTGTCGTCTGCTTCTATTGCATTATCCACTTTTTTCAGACTCAAAACATTAGGTGACTGTCAAAAAGCTTGGTACCAGACAAAACGCTGTGGTGCTTTGGGCCTGGTCTGGTACCTGTCTATTTGCAAGGGTGGTCGCTCTAAACAGGTTACGAGTTAACACAGTATACACCGAATCAGTCTTTTTATAAATGCGGTCGTTTGTATATTTTATTATGAACATATTTCATTATCAAGTATTGGCCCATCACCATTACAATAATTATAATAGTCAATCTTAAAACATATATTACTTATTCAACTCAACACAACAGCAAAAAATTGAACATGGTGTCACTTTAATACTCATTTATATTTAGATTACTTTTTATTAAGAACTTGGAGTCGAACTTTGCAACGTAAGAATATACATGTATTGAAAATAGCATTAAAGTCTCTTTAAACTGCCTTGCTAACTTTTCTTTCTATCAAAAATCAAAAGCCTTCTTCTTTTCTTTTTTTCTTCTTTTTTTCAAAAGTGTAATGGGTGCATGGGTACAGATGTATGGTTTACTTTTAAAGCTATGTTATCACAAAAATCAACAAGATGCTTTGTAAAAAATGATGATACCAAATGTTTTAATAGAGCTGAATTCTGACTATATAAATTCACTAAAACATATCGTCTGACATCAGATAAGTTATATTTTCAGTGTTTAAAACTTCTTGATGTCCCTATGATATCTAAACATTATAAAATTAAAGCTTTTAATAATAAAAAATTCAGAACGTTTTATACTAATTTTCTTTAATGTCGCAATAAAATCTGAATGAACTTGTCACGTATAAAATGTAGAAATTTATCGTGTGTGAAATTTAGATCTGATACCTTTAACTAAAGTCTGCTTTATTTATAATTTACGAATAAATTAATGTAGTTTTTATTATCGGGTTTGCATTAGAATCACTTGATAATACTGATAATTTTATGCATCTATATGTAACGTCGAATTTATACGAATTAATATTTTCCCATGAAAATTACATAAAATCAAAAAGGCACTATTAAACCGACTCTAATTGTTGCGCATATTATCAAAGTGTTCCGCTTTTGAAGTTTAATTGGATTTTCATTCATCAAATAAAATATTTTTTAATAATTTATAATTCAAACGCATGATGAGTGATTCATCACAATTTTTACTTAATAAATCATCAAATTTTAGTTTTAAATATCATTATATACACACCCAATATTTAAAAACCCATATATGTATATAAATCAATACATTATGCAAGACTATCCATCTATTTTCCCTCACCTAACTTTGCACAAACTAACTTTATTAACATTATTCAAAAAGTACGCAATTATATTACGCCATATTGGAACTTACTTCTGCTGGTTATTTTTAGATGTGTACTGGGCATTCCAGGATGTGCCATTATTCGGTCGTCCTCGGTCATTAATCGTTTCCGGGGAGGCTCCTCGGCTGCTAATGCCGCAGCTCGTGACGCCTCTTCCATTTTGCGCGTGGCTTCTTCCATCGCACGAGACGCTGCTTCCATTGCCATGGCGTCACGTTCTGCGTAACGTTCTGAAAGACTTCTGTGAGTTGGTGTAGGAGGTAAACTGTCTTCTTCGCCTGTAGAAAGAATAAATTCAAAGATTACTTTAACTTTCTTTTTTTTAAAAAAGGGATGCCAGATAACTAAAAATAGTTCTTCTCGATTTCAACGAAAAGTATAGTCCTTTAATTCCAACAAAACGAAGCTATGGTGAAAATATATTGCATATAAACAGTAGAGTGATTGGACACGTCCTCGATCAGCCAGGTCCTCGATCAAAATTTTGGTTTTTGTATCTTTTTCAAATAAACTTGATAAAACACGGACTTTCTTTGCTTTGTTTTTCCAACACATGTAAGTACTTTACTAAACTCCCACTGAAGAGTATTTATGTGAGGTCAAAGTTCACGCAGCAGACGATTCTAAACAATGGCAAAGTGAAAGTAGAAATTACCCAATAAAAAATTAAGTGCATATTTTCTCCTTAGCTCTAATATTTATACAAAATAAATAAAAAATGACAAAAAATAGCTACTTTTGATGATTATACAAATTTTTTTCCTACATAATAAAATTAAGTAAGCTTTTAGCTCTTTTCCCAGGAAGGGGGTGGGTCGATTTCCTACAGTAATCTAGGTCAGGGATCAGCCACTAAGAAAAGATGCTAAATATATGCATATTTTGCCGAAAATACATATTTTCCGCTTTCTTAAGAATAATTAGATATTTTTACATAATATCAAAATAAAAAGTAGTAAATTAATGGGATCAGGTACGTATATTAACAATATACGTACCTGATGGGATAGAAAATCACATAGGTTACAAACCACTATATTTTACTGTTTTTTTCCCTTGGTTTTACACCACCATATTTTTCCCCTTTGGTGACACTCAATTATATATCTTCAGCAATGCCTAGGTCTAACAATGCCTAGGTCTCAGAGGACCCACCCAGATCAAATATATAGTGAGGCAAAACAACTTGTGACCCAGGGCTATTCCATACGTAAAGCAGCTATTGAATAAGGCCTTCCTTACACCACTGTACAGAGCCATATCAATGGGAAATACAAGGGTTATATTACAAAATTTGGGGAAGAGTGTTTGTTAAAGCCAACGGATGAACAAATTCTGATAATTTATGCAACATTCATGACATCAAGAGGCTGTCCTCATTCTAGATTATTTTTAAAAAATGTTGCAAGAGAGATTATTATCAGTCATGGAGGAGCTAAACGCATCGATCCCAGTAAAAGATCTCAAATAATTCATTTCTATTTTATTCACATTTCTTTTAAATATAAACTCCAAATTTTGTCATACAAGTATTAGTTTAAACATTTTTTTACATTATCATGTCAAAATTAGCTGATCGACGACGTGTCCATTATCCTAAGAAAATTTAAAATTTGGTGGTCTATGACCTATGTTGTTATTGTTATGTTTAATGGTTGCTCCCTAGCTTAAAATATGACGTTTTACAAGAAGAGTGTCTGGTGATATTTTTCAACGGAAAATACTACTCATAAGAGGCAAGTTTAATTTGTGGGTGTAATTTTACAATAAAATTGATCGAGGACATGTCCACTGAGTCTAATTAAAAATAAAGATGTTGACGAAAACATGAAATTTCGAAAAAAAAGTTTTTATCCATGCTTAGAAAGTGAATTTTAGATAAACGAAAATAAATATTTAAAAGATTTTATTTGTGTTTTTTTTTTCAATTTTTCAACTTTATACTATTAATCATTATCTGGCAACCAGTTTGTTTTGTTCTGCCATGAAAAGTTTCTCTGTATGTTTTTTTTTTCTTATTTGCACTAAAAGTTGACAACTGTTATCTCGCAAATCTGTAATTTTACAATCAAAAACTATTTCACCGATGCCCTCAAAGATCGTGTTTCAATATAAATCACCTTTAGACAAATTATTAATTTCTCTGTTTTCAGGTAGCTTCTCTGCCCGTTCCTATATTTATAATATGTGTTTAATTGAGATGTAGCATCTTTGGCAGTAACTAGACACCGTCTAGGTCGCGCCCCTTTGCTCATATTTGTACCCAAATCTATTCATACCGGGCTCCCGCGAGCGCCTGTGAGCGAAACACGAACTGTCTAATTTTCGTGACATGACATATCAAAATAATCAAAAGACAAGTGTTGGGAACATTGATACCCATGTTTACGAGTGCACAAGATCAAATTTCATCTAAAATTACACATTACAAATTATTTGCTTCAATATTTCCACTGATCTCGACGAAAATAAAGAGCTGATATCTTAATACGAAGATTTACTGGTGCGGAATTCGCGCCGAACAATAAGCGAAATTAATGTACCCGAATTTTCATTAAACACCGCAAATTCGACCAACGCTATAATAAGCGATTCTAAATTGTTCATTTTGTGGATTAGAAGAAGATGATATCATATTATAATCCGAAAGGCCTTGGTTTAATAGTATTTTATGGTGGCAAAGGCCAAATGGAAGATCAGATGAAAATGGTGATCGAGTGAAAATGGCAGTCACAATATTGGCCCTTAACATGCGATAAAGCCATTCGTTTGGTCATTCTTGATTAAATACGGTGGGTCTTTTCTATAAAAGATTTGACGGTGTCCCGCTGAAATCTGATTGTGCTGCTCTCTGATTAGATACTTCCGATAATTTATCATTGTAAACAGAAATTCCGTGATGCCCGGATGTTGAAGCGCTTTAATTAAAGTCTTTTCTATAATTGTTAGTTGTTTACCTCATAAAAAGAGAAGAAAATCGTTTACTTTTGAAACTCTGCAACGTTAACTATATGTTTGGGTCTGTTTGATGGGTGAAAGAGGCTTGGTAAACGGTTTGGTTTAATACTTTCTATTTTTCTTGAACACACCGGAAGTGACGTATATATATAGAAGAACATGAATATTTACATTGTTTACATTTTGTGATTGATGCATTGCAAATATTAATTGATTAACAAATGTTAAGAACATAAGCTTACAGGGAAAAAACTTGAAACTATTCAAAACATATTCGTTAAATAAAAGCAGCAACGTCTGTGGAATTAATGAAAAATAACATGAAACGTTTCCGAATTTCTCTTGGCAAAACAACCGGAGACAAATATTATGCCTCAAACCAGGCACCCTACAACGTACCCAGACACAAAGTCAAAGTGCAGCACAAACTGTTCCAAGGGACTACTTAAAGTTTGTGCAAACCAAATTCAATAATGTCAGTATAACGGAAGCGAGCTCTTTTGGTTCTGATAAAGATATAAAGTAAAATGTATTCTACCTAACAGCTCAGGTGTTAAGTTAGATAGGTGTAAGGAACTTTATAAACAACTTGTTTGATTCTGATATATATAATACTTGTTTAAAATCATAAAAAAAGCCGGACCGGCTGATTTGGTTAAATTTTGGAAAACCAAAAGGAACATTCTGTAAAGTATGTGAAAAAAGACAGAATGAAAGATTGGTGAAAATTTAAAAGCAAAAGATTGTCTGTTTCTAATTAGAGAAGCTGATAAGAGTTTGAAAAGTGGTATGGAATTTCGAAGTGGTATACTAGTAACATTGTAAAAGCGGTTTGGAATTTGAAGCGGTTTAGCTGGAATTGGGAGCGGTTCGGTATTTGGAATTGGAAGCGGTTCAGTATTTGGAATTGAAAGCGGTTTAAGTATTTGGAATTGAAAGCGGCTTCAATTTGGAAACTTTAATTGAAGCGGTTTTAGAATTAAGACTTGGTTTGAAATTCTGAAGCGGTTTTCAGTTTAGAAACTGTTAAAATAGTTGAAGCTGTTCGGAAATAATTTGGAAGCGGTTAAGCCTTCGAATTGTTTGAAGTCTGAAGACAATACTAAAGCAGTAATGTATACGTTTAGCAGGGTTTTTTTTGTTTGGATGTTTAACACTTACACATTTGCTGTTGTGCAGCCTGCATTTGCCAGAATTGTCTAAGGCTTGTGATAGGTGATCTTCGATCTAAAGGAAAGATAGACATAGCTTTGAATTATTCCCATGTCTGAGTTTCAAAATTCTTCTGGCAACAAAATCAAAACAATGGTGAATAAAAAAACAGTGAGAGAAAATAAACCAACGGTGATGTTAATAAATAACAAAATTAATTGAATTGTTTTTTATTTTGTGAGAGTTCTATTTTCATTCCATTTTTTTTTTTTAAATGTGATATTTCAAAATTAGTAAGTGAAAGTGAATTGCATAAAAAACTCATTTAAAGAGGCCGCCAAGAGCATCCAAAACTACCGAAACCATATTAAACGTTTTTAGGCTCGTATTTATTGAAACATTTCACGTTATAAATAATTCTTACGCTGTTTGGAAAGGTTTTTGAAATTGTTTAATTTCAATTGTGACTCTTTCCTCAAAGTTTAAATCAGTAACTTAATTGAAAATAGTTCTTTAAATCGAATAAATTATTTCATCCCATCTGATAAGATAATTGAAACAAATGAAATCCAACACTGTTTATTTAATTTTGAATTAACTTTTTTTAATTTCTTACTTTTTTTAGTTTTCCACAAATACGAGCCTAAGGAAGGTGTCTTTTGATTCAAGCAAACTTATATCAATTGTTTGTGATTAACACAAGAACACATACCTGAACTTGTACCATTGAATTTTCCGTTCATGAGACCGTTGAAATGTGGGTGTGGGTGTGACGTAGGTATGAGTGTTGGCCCCGGGGACAGGTCATATCCGTACCCTGACCTTCGTCCCTCGCGTCTGTTGCCGTCAATGGCAGCTTGCAGTTCTTGTGGTGAACTTAGATGAAGTTTTTCACATTCATAAGGGTAGAGGTATTTCATATATCTATAATAAAGAAAAAAGGTATTTCATATAACCATAATAACGAATAGAGGTATTTCATATATTTTATAATAAAGAATAAAGGTATTTCATATATCTATAATAATGAATAAAGGTATTTCATATATCTATAATAAAGGATAAAGGTATTTTATATATCTGTAATAAAGAAGAAAGATATTTCGTATATCTATAATAAAGACTAGATGGATAAGAATAAAAAAAAACGGCAAAATAAACTTTTCACCAATCAAAATATATCACACATAATATAGTAACGATAAAGTATTTGCTGTTCACGAATTTCTAGGGGCATTCTAATAAGCTTTAGTATTTTGAAATTATAAAGATGTGATTACAAATTATGAAAACATACCTAGACAAGTGAAAGAAAAGAACTCACCCTGGGAAGAGAGAAGTTGATAAGAATAAAGACTTTGTGGAGATTAAAGACGTTGGAAAACAAATCATGGCAAACGGACAATATATAATTACATTGTAAAAAACATATAGTACAAGAACATGACGTTTCTTGCACTTTCTTTCTGCACTTAGAAACACAACAATGGAAGTACAAAACATGACGAATTATAGAAGAACAAGAAAAAGAATTACAACAGACTGATCATATGACTGTTGTTTTTGGAATGTGAAAACAAAATACATGTAGGTGAATTATTGTGGTGACGCAGTGAATACAGTCCAAGAATATATCACTAATAAATGAAGTCAATATGGATAATTATCGCACGATGTAAAATAATATATTGCACTTATAAGTAACAAGATATCAGACTGGTAAATAAGAAACCATGTAGATATTTGCGATAACTTACTGGGTCCGAAGTGTGAATGCTGCACTAGTTATAGATGATGGAAGATTAAGACCCTTGGTGATCTCCCGCCATAATTTCTTGTTGATGACTTCAACAAGACCACCTTTGGAGACGACAAGTTTGAACAGTTCGTAAAGATCGAGGGTCTGTTTCGCCATTATTGGTATACGGTTAACAGGTGATCCTGGAAATATAAAAATAGACTGAAAAAAATTTTACGACAATTGTTTCCCGCCATTTTTGGTATACGGTTTACAATACAAACATAGACTGGAAATAAATTTCTACGACAGAATTGTTACGCCGTTATTGGTATTCCTTGATTTAAACATTTATAATTGGAATAGGACATTTGTTGGTATAAGTACAATATTATTCATATAAATGATGATAAACCTGACAAAACATGTGTTGTAACAGTTTTAACATCAAGTTATTGTACATATTTTACTATTCCAGGACTGCAAGCCATTTCAGAAACAAAACAAAAACGAAATGAAGTCCATGTTCAGATCTACATGTAAACAAAGCAACGCGTTTTGAGATCAAATAGATTACTATTAGTATTCCATTCGGAAATATTTGAAAAGTCTAAAGAGATCTTCTCATGAAAGTAAATAATCGTAGTTTCTATTTCTCCATAAACTACAAGAGTGTTAGGATACTTATTCAAAATATACGTGCATTACTGTGCGCCTTTTTTCCCGCGATGGTCAGTCTTGCAGACGACATAAAACATTTTTGCATAATCAAAGCTTATATAATTGTATGAAATAACAAATAACTGTGTTGTCTTGTGCGCCTTTTATAAAAGAGCAGAATTAAATCCCAGGGGGTGGGGTACTGTAGAAACTTCGCGTACCATTTTTCTGGTACGTGGCATCAATTATACTTGGGCTGTGTTGATTATATTTAACCTTTGCATTTTTAATGTCAATGATTAAGCACAAATCAAATAGCTTTTACATATTTAATGCAGAAATAAGCCCAGTATTGACTACAAATATAAGACGGTACATGGGAATTAGATGCCTTTCAGCATCAACAATATTTAATAGCTGTTTGATTAGCTTGGGTCAATACAACGAATTTGTTCATAATGAATTATTCAAAATATTTCTTTATATCAACCATCTTTTACATTGCTAATTCCACAAAAAGCAGACGAATACAAAAGGAATATGTTATAAGTCACATTACGCGATAAATCGCTTTGATTGAAATTTGCAATCATACACTAATCGAGAATAGGTTCCATGTTTTTATATCTATTTGTTTGCCACGTGGGATCAGATATTATAGTGTGTCACTTAATTTGTTACGGAAAATAGAAGTTCAAAGTCCGTTGATAACTTTTTGTAAGATTTAACTATTCATTTCTATTTACTATTACTAAAAAACTAGTACGAAAGCATTCTGGTACGCATGTACCGTTTTTTTTTAACATGCAGCATCTCAATCCACATAAGGCGTGTCTTAACCATAACAAGTGGTACATTTATTGAATTTTTAATTGCTTTTAAATTTGAAAGTGAACTATTCACTTTCAACCACATCAGCTGGGATGTTCCAGATTTTACGAAATATTCATGTTGTTTTTTGTTTCACTGAGTTTTTTTTTTATTGCTTTGCCTTTTTCGTCACACAATGACTTTGTTAGTGATAGTGAATATTTATTTCAGATTGCTTCTCAATATCTCAGTTATTCAAAGTAATATTGTTTCCATTCTGTAATTCCCTTTTGCACTTCCGACAACTTTGGCTTACTTGATCAGATAATATCAGCCAAATGAACATGTTTTCAAGTTTTAACGATCGATTTCTGATAATGATTATTTTAAAATATAAATCAAGTAGACAACTTTTTATAAATAAAACAAATTGGCACTTTCAGAAGCTTGGCTTACTTGATCAGATAATATCAGTCATATGAACATGTTCTTAAATGTACGACCCGTTACTAATAACTTATGTATCAAGTTAGCCCATTTTTATTCGAACTTAGTTCATATTGCTTCATGATATTATTATCCATATTTAGTTAAATATGCTTCCACATGTTTATATGAGAAATGTTGCGTACCGTATTAAAAGCCCCATTAGCCGACTGTTTGTGGTACAAAAGATAAAAATCCTTAACAATTAAAATTTCATGAATAGTATTAAAGCTCGTTTTCGTCTTTTAGATATTAATACCTAAGAGAAGACAGGTTTATATTTTATCGGTATTACTTGATATACCTTACGATGAGGTAAAACCATTTAAGTGACACAAAATGTATCGTGCCCCATTAGGACAAAGGCATAAACTAGCGAAGTAAATTAATGCTAATCGAATCTGAATTATGATACTCACTTTAAAACTCATAAGAAATGCATGATAGCATAAGTTATTTAGACGTGGAAAACGCTGCCTTATGAGCGTTAAAGATCAGATTATCGACCACAAGTCATTAATTCCGGTACCGGTTCCATGCTAAAGTCATCCTCACTATGTGCACATACTCCACTTGGAATTGTTCAGAAAATAACTATTGCAATAAAATAAATTAAAAAAAATAAATAAATGGTGTAGTTGTGGTTTTCAAGTTTTAACGATCGAGGTACAGGAATGTGACAACTTTTATACACTGAGATGTTAGTCGGGTACACATTTCCGTTGCAGGATATTTGTGTAACTAACCCAAAGTGTTCCAACTAATAAAGCCAAAGTATTTTAATAATCGGACATAATTTGAGGTCTTATATGTGTCGATGTATCACATTGGCACAAATAATCAAAGTTTTCCAACTAATAGAGCCAAAGTATTTAAATAAACGGAAAGATATATGTGTCAATGTATCAAATTGGCACGCAAAAAAACCCAACAGATCCGACTATCAAAATCGTGTGTACGTTCATACAAAAGTTAAGAAGAAAAGATGCCAGTGTATTTCATTTTTTATCTGAACTCCTGCACGTTACCATACTAGCAATATAATAAATATGAAAAAATATAGGCGGTCCTTAAACATGTTCCACGTGACCAATTCAGTCTCAAGTTCAAGCTTCTATTATTGTTTTGATATCGTTTTTGTTTTTAACATGTAATTCTTCGATTGAGCTCAATTTAGTATGTCTATTTCGGTCTGGAAGGGGGGTATGTGTTTAATTGTCATTTAATTGTAGTAATCAGCGAAACTACAGACATCTACACCGTCAAACGTATGTGATATACAGTCCACGATTTGATCAGACAATCGAATAAAAAGACGGGGGAAAACACCCGAATGTAATTTATTTATTCGCTATGATGAGAATTATTTGCCCTAATTTGATGAAATCATCACCTATCATTTGATTTGATGTTCCAATAAGGTGGATATTGAATTAAGAAATAATTTGTGATAGGAGAAAGACTCATCAAGAACTCATTAAAGGCACAAGAGCACCTGTCACCGCATTTGGGACTTTCACCAGAATCTGTTGTCACTTTATACGAAAATATCTCCCTTTTAAATATTTCTCCTCACTTTAAATAGAGAGATAAAATTTCGTTTTTATTTAATTCTTGTTTTTGATAGAGACAAAGGGGACTAGTTATTAAATTTGTTTTATTTAAGAGATAATCGTTTGGAGTCTTCCTTTATTGCATTGTGCAGGGGTTTTATGTAAACATTTTGATTAATTTTCCTTGAAGTCCTCTGAATCAGAATAAAATGTGAATATGATTTAATTTGTAGGTACATACTTATATCTATTTCACTATGCTTTCGGGTACAGTTCGTTCATTTTCTCATCCATTTAAGGCGAATATGTTCCGCAGAACAAACTACAGTCGCGGACGAATACAATTTTAAGACAGAAATACAACAGATTCTCCCTGAGACGGACTACTTTTTTGTGCAAATATCTTAGTAGATATACGCAATGCAGTTGTCATTTATTTTTGGAATTGTAATTCAATTAACTGTGGAACAAAATCCATGCAATATAATTTACAAAATGCCAAATGTCTAGAAATTGAAAACATACGAAATGTGCGAAGGAATTGACTGATCTATCTATATAAATGATAGGCCTTTCATTTCCCAAGACGTTTTATCCTATCATTGTCTAACACTCATCATTATCAATTAACAAAACCCGTTAAATTAAAGTAATATTTATATTTATAGGGACAAGAGGAGCTCTTGTATTTCACTGGGGATATTTGGTGCCGTATCAAAGACTATACTCGAGAAATAACGAAATTAAACCGACACCTCGCTATGACATAAAATACAAAGAAATTAAATTGGTTGGCCATATAAGAGATATGACTGATTATAAGTCGGTAAATTGATTCTGGCATTGAATGATACCGACTGAAATCTTGAAAATTTATCACCAAATACACGCACATCAGTCTTTTCTCCGGGAGAATTTCCAGGCAATTTTCTCTATCCCCCCAGACGGAACTAGCTAAGTTGTTGGGCACGGCGTAGAAATTTTATAGTGAACTTCACATGGAGTGCAAATATTTTATTTAAATTGTGTTTTTATTATGATTATTTTTAAATACGATTCATTGTAATAATGTTTTAGTGTTATGAAATGAAAAAAATGAAAAAGGAAGAGCGGTAACGTCGTACCACGCTATAACCGTTCATTATTATTGTCATACAAAACTATACAATGTCCGTCCGTCTGCGTGGAGAAGGTTAAAAAAGCATTTATCGTTATTTGCATTTATCTATTACGATATTTCTATATAGTCTTGTGAAACAAACTGCTTTAAAGATTTGTCCAAACATTTTTTTCACGCAATCATTTGACATCAACGTTTTCCGGTATTTTTCATTTATTATTACCGTAACTTCCGGTTCCGGTAGTTCAATATTTTATTCATAAAAACAAATGTTCAGTAATTGTTTACTAATTAACACAATTAAGATATCCGAGATATCGCGAGATTTCAATGGCATGCTATATGTATTATTCTATACATAATAAATACACCATGTCCAGAAACTGTAGGAGGGGTTCTAACTCGGTAAACTTTATTGGGCTCCCGTGAGATCTAGTTATTCGTACGATTGTTGCTCTGGCAGTTCATTGGTCGTCTGGTGTATATCTGGGCACATTGTGTTGTACGTTTTGTATTTTCAAAAGAAAAAACACAGCACATAAAAATTCAGGCATCTGTTGTTGTTGTCGTTGTT